CTTCCATTCCAGTTCTTTCGAAATGTTGTTCATCCTCTTCTTATCTGTCTCCATTCTAAGGCATATTTTAACCCTTTGTCTCCTTCTCCTCTTATCGCCTTCTGGATTAAAGGTGAAAGCTGGTCTTGTGAGGCAATCGGGTCAATCAATGTGGATGAGTCAATGAATATATGCATCTACGCTATTGCAAACGCTTTTGAGGCACATAGTACAATCTGTAGCCACATATTCTCTCTCCGTATTTTCTCTGAAGCCAATGCTCTCATCAAGCCTAATTGAAGGTGAAGGGCTAGACGTCTCATAATGAGAGCCGAGTTTCTTCAAACGTCACGAGGCCGGCGCCTGTTCTGACAAAAACAGCAACTATTCTTTGAGGTACCTAAAATTACTGAACCATGTGGCAGAACAGGAGAGTCATCTATGTTGCCGCAAAGATGAAAAGATGCAACTTCAGGAAATCTATGAATACGAAACTGCCTCACACACAAGGAGTTGCCATGATGGTTTACAATCAAGCCAAAGTAGCTCTTATAGGATGGGGATCTCACTGACCGATTATCATCAGCACATCTTTTATTCAGAGACGATGAGCACGACAATGAACGTCACTCAGTGGTATGCACCTACCAACGACTACAACGTAGACGTTAAAGACCAATTCTACGAAAGGCTGCAATATATCGTCGAGAGACGCTCATAAAGTGATTGCACGATTCCGATCGGAGAACTAAATGCCGAGGTTAGAATGGACAACAACGAACATGAAGACATCATGGGACGAAAAGAATTGGGAGAACGATACGAAAGTTTTGCGAATCTATATGCCTTCAACAGACTGATCATTAGCGGCACAATATTCTCTCACGAACGTATGCACAAAGATTCACGAATTTCAACGGATGACGCTGATAGAACAAAGTCCACCTTATCTGTATCCATGATATGTTCAGATGGAACATGGAGGATGTGACAACTAAGAGTGGAGCTGATATAGCCTCAAATCACCACTGAAACTCACGAAACACTAGACAGCAGGGCACACAACATCACAAAACTTTATCACGGTCATTCTTTAGGATACCGAAAAGCTCAACCAATTCAAGATAGCCCTCAGCATTTGGTTTCAGGATTTTCACAATCTACTCAATGGAGAAGACAAAACGTTTGACGACAATTTGAAATGGGTGCAGGAGACAATCACTTTAATATGTGATGAGGTTCTCCACCACAAGATACAGCATTACAAATAACTGATCTCTGTGAATGCACTGGATTAGAATCCAGATGACGGAGGAGTAAGCAGGCAGCAATAAATATCACCCCAACAATTGGAAAGATGGCCACGGCTGAAGCTGAGTACACAGAAATAAACAAGCAAGTGAAGAGGAGAATCACAGTCGACAAATGTAAGTATGTGGAAGATCTAGCAATGACAGCTAAAAATACTAAAACAGAAAACGAAATACGAACATTGTACTATACAACAGAGACGGTTGCTCGAAACTGTCGTAAACCAGGACGACCGGTGAAAAGCAAGGAAGGCAAATTAATCAGTCACAATGAAGAACGGCGCAATATGTGTGTGGAGCACTTTGAGAGACTGTTTAATCGACCATCCACACTGAATCCAGTCAACATCGAACCAGCATCCGCGGACCTCCGAATCATTATCCACCCATCAACAGTTGAAGAGATCAGTATGGCCATAAGACTGCAAGAAAGCATTCAACTATATGGACAGGACAACACAATGTAGGCTTCTTTGACACTGCGCAACAACAAATGCAAGAGATGACGACCAATAAACTTCAACAGTCTTTACAACTCTATAATGAAATTTTAACATGTGTTTGATAACCATTGTATATCAATGTACACAGAGACATGATCCACTCGTTGATATCAAACTGATTCTCGACGTAAGACTCTAAACTCAATGTTCCCGTTGGCCTGAAGATTATTGTTGAAGTGTCGTGTCATTCGACTAGTCTTTCCAACATACACTGGATCCTGTTCATTCCAAAATGACAACTGAAATGATTCCGATCGAATTAAAGGAATTCAATTACTCCTTAATCCTGGAATTTCTTTAATTGGCCATAAATTGATATGTGTTTTGTGGAATACGTTTGAAAGTCTGAACGTTAAATTACACAACCTGTCTATCAATGATTCCCTAATCAGAATCTCTTTCTCAAGATATCAACAATATTTATTTGTGATAATGAGGATACAAAGTTCCATTTAACCTTAGTACAGTGTTCCCCGAGATAGTGAGAATTAACCTCCTTACAAACAAACGTAGATGGCCAGGAGGGGATCGAGCCAATTTTCCATTCTTTCTAATCTCTTGATTACGGAAAAGCTATGAACTTTGAAGGTACATGTAACAGTTTGCTTACAGGAATGTTCATTTTAGTGTGTATCTGCATAGAATGCAGATAGAGCAATTAGGTCTGGCTAGGAGGACCATAGCGATGATCATAAAATGTACCATAACTAGTGCTCAGCTGTTGGCACAACACGCATTGTGATTTGAGCGTGAAGGAGTAAATTATCAATAGACCGCTTATTTGCTAAGTTGATTTGACTAAAGGATGGTCATACAGTTCAGCTAGTGTCACTGTGCTACGGCCTAAGATAAACGCATCTACACCTACTTGCATATTGGAGTGTACAAACTCTCGTCAATGCAACCTGTACATACAACTAACGTGTAACTGCGTGCGAACCTTCCTCCATGTCTACATACATTTAAAGAATTAGTATACCTAGTCTAAACATATTTTTTGTCTATATTGTCTTATACGATTTACGTGCATACTTAAGCTCACTTGGGATAAGCTAACATATCTCATACTGAAGGTACTCATTAAAACTCATCAACAATTTCGGCTACCTTAAAAAGCTTTCGAGAATGGTATGATGTATAACTAACTATACGATAGGTAGACTGGTACGAGTTCCGTCTTCTCTAATCGCGATAGACCGTGGTGAATTAATCTAACGAATATTCACATAGATATATATATATATATATATATATACATATATATAAGTAGACTGTAGTGAAAAAATCGGCCTATATATATATATACAAAAGGCTTGTAAGTCAACCGTCCATTCTTATTTGTAAAGTTGGATTAAAATTTCCTCATTGCCACTTCCCTCATTTCTTTTCGTATATTTATTAATTGAATTTACGATCGTACATCCGTTTTTGCTTCAAAGAAGCCAACTGAATTCCCACCTTATAAGCTGGCGTGAAACAACCCACTACCATCCGATGACGAATAGTATGGTGGAGGGACTACACCGGCCACTTAGAGCTTCCCTAACAACTGGTGTTCCTAACGATGATCGGCCCAACAAGCATCCATTATTCCTGTTGAGTTTGAGATGGACAATTACACAAGATATAGGATGTTGTCCTGCAGAGTTGGTGTATGGAACTACTCTACGTATGCCAGACGGATTTCTCACCTCAGATGCAAGTGTTCCAACATATATAGCTTACTACGTACAACTTCTGAAGGAACACATTTGTACCTCTGTTTTCTGGGAAGAGCTGCTGTTCTAGACCCTCACCACCTACTCACCATACTAACTTCAAAAATTATTCGTTTAAATTATTTGATAACTACACCGACCATTCATTCATATTTGTAATAATTCAATAACCGTATGCATTATCGTATATTCGATTGTGTGCTGCATGCTAGCATATTATTTCCGGATTATAAATACTTTGTCAGGCTTCAGGGCGTGAGAGTGCGCTCACTCGCCCCTCCCAATTCGCTACCCTTGCCTGCTCACTTTTCATTCCCATGTCTGTCAGCTTCAATGAACAATAAATGAATCTAGAGAGGGCCATGATGTGACTCTTCGATCATCTATTGAAAAAAGTACTTCCAGTAAACAAGATAGCTATAACATTTAGTGACAATTTTATGTTCCAACTTCCTCAATCAAGGTGATTTTGAGAATAGTGGATGCATAATGGAATCGGAGCTTGTCAAGTAATTGCGAGTGACAGAAACATCAAGATATTCAATTGAATGATGATTAATTCATCAAAGTTTATGGCGAACGTCTGCTGCAACTACTTCCGGATAACCAGCTGTCCTTACTAAACTCAAAAGTTAAGCATAGGGAAAAACATCTTCAGAAATCGTGAGAACCGTAGACGTCACAATGCTGGACACACCTTGATCCTATCGACATCAGCCACTGATGGAGAGGTTCGATGTAGAACTGCCGCTTGCTGTCTCGCACATGTCTAGATTCAAGTCATGCTCTGGTGCCAGTCTGTATTTGTTTGCTACATACTGCACGTCAATAGTGCAACTACACTTCATAAACTGAGCATAATTTCACGTTAATTATGGTCGCAGATTATATCAAACACCTTAAAATGCTCTTGAATTACTTAGACGTTCCACTACACAAATATTTCGCAGATGAATTTATTTGAACACTACTCTGTTTCTCATTGCTGGTTTAGAAATACCACTTTTCAACAAATTCACTGAGCATCTAAACTTTGCATAACATTATAACAAAGCTCAATGTATCTGATCGATCATGCATATGAAAATGGCGTCTACCTGCACTGTCAGTAATATGACGGCAATCAAATTCGTCCTAGATTGTATTTTTCTGATCCATTTCAGTGGTATTGAGATATATGTTGAATAAGAAGTTTGACTAAGTTCGACTTCGTCAAATCACACGAACCGACCATGTCCTAGTCACGTGTAGAATAATCCGCAAATAACTGGCTTCCACATTCAAGCACACTTCACTGAGCATCATGCGCGAATCACCACAAACACAGAACACCCACACCCACCAACTCATACAAAACACATGATGTAATGGTGTAATTGATTAGGTTGTTTATTTACTAGAAATATATGAACACAATCGCAAACGCAGTTGTCCATATTCTATGTACACACCTGTGAGAATGACACAAGCTGTCGGTCGGTACTGGTTATTCAAATATTGGGACGCACGAAATCCAACATTCTGGCCACACTGGCATACTCCACAATGATGTCGGGGTACATGGTATGTGTGACGCCATGTGATACCACAGCAAGCACTGGACCTTGAGGAGACGGAAGCAGAGGTCCACCACTGTCACCTGGAGCGGGTAATTGACCGAAATTCTGACCTGATTTCACACAGATAGGATTGCCGACGGTGGCGTGTCGGCACTCCATAACAGTAGCTCGACCTGTGTGTGAGAGAGAGAGAGAAAGAACAGAGGATCAGGTGGATCAAGTGCACAAATATCCAGTTGCACAAATCATTCAACAACCAACACATCAAACCAAGCACCGAACAACTAATCAACATGTGTTCTCCGCAATCAGAGGTCGTCACCTTTATCAATCAAGCCACAATCCATCTCATCACTGTTCCAATGTGGAAATGAAACCACGGACTGACAACTCGGCTCACATACAAAACGAATCGTCATTGGCACAGACATTTCAGCAAACGTCTTCGATCGAAGTGTTCGCACGCAAGCAAACTAGCAAACCCATTGCTCATCGACAACTCACCCTTCTTCAGAATTCCACCATTTTTGCGTGACGGATCGCGGTCGTTATCATCCCTCCCATAACCAACAATCAAAACACCAGTTCCTGGTGCTGGGATATCCGATTCCTGTGCCAGACTGATCACTCTGACTCCACTCTGTAAGTTGACCATTTGTGCGAGCATTACAATTGCAACGTCAAATCCGCTGAGTGACTGTTGTGGGGTTCTGCCGCTTCGTAACGCATTACAAGAGGGCATGTATTGCGGTGCTATCTTGACTCCAGATGGTTGGTGATTGATGGCATTCTGGTCGCCATTCCTCAGTGCGAGAAACGAAGCCTGAAACGGATAAAACACATTGATTAGATCAGCGTTAGACCGATGCGACACAGTCTGTCACACAGACACTGTCAAATCAATCAATCAATCAATCAATCAATCAACAACATAGAGGCACAATAATTCCTGTGTGAAGCCTTACCCGGATCACTGGCAACGGTGAACAAACACAATGACCAGCTGTGAGTACTGCCCTCTGCGAGACCAATGAGCCTGTGCACATTGTTCTCTCTGTCGTTAGAAATGCGATGAAGGGGAATTCAGTGCGTTGTTGCACTGGTTCACCACTACGTATCAGCCAGCTTGACACACGTTCAAATGTCAGACAGTAGTAGGTGCACAGCACCAACACCAGCAACGTCGACCGGTTCAACATCACCATGTGACTATGTGACTATGTGACTATGTGACCAGTTCACTGGACTAAGTTACAATCTCGTCACACGTTCACCTATTTATATGGGTCAATATCCTGTGAAATTATTCCAGTGCATGTGAGTGATTTCACAGGTGTGTCAGTGCACAGTGTGCAGCTCGATTCGCAGTGCACTCGACTCATGCACTGTTGTGACAGGTTTCATTTGAAATTCACGACACGCCTCATTTTGTTGGAGAGTGTGTGAAGTGTGTACAACTATTCAAGTGAACAGATGACGTAATCACGGAGAGTGATTATGGTCAGATGAAATCCCATAATAACACTGTTAGTAGATATGTTAGCAATAAAATATTATTAGCGATCTTAAGATATGACGTCATTTGTTTACTTGAATAATTTTACAAACTTCACACACTCTCCAACAAAATGAGGCGTGTCGTGAATTTCATTGGCGCAAGTGCATTTAATCTTTGTGTTCTCTGAAATTCTAGTCTTCTGAATTCCTCATCATCTGTATCGTTCTCTTCTTAATGTTATCTCACTGAATTATATTTCTTGAATAACATCTTTGAAACCTAATCACTCGGATTATTTCGAATACTCTAACTACCTCCACTCCTATGGGATTTGCATTGAAAAATTATATATCTGTACTAGTGTAGTCTGGCGACTTGAAATGATGTACTAACGTACAAAATTCTACGTTGGAACTGACAGGTTGAGTTACTGAAAAATATTCAATCTTATATCCGTATTCCAGCATAAATCTAATACTATCGATTGTTGTACTGAGAAATTTCGCTATCTGAAAAGCATGTCAACAGTTCAATAGTATATTATCTACACACACCAGATTTTATTACTGTCTGTGCAAAGTTTCTCATCGAAAATATCAAGTCAGGATTCCATCTAATCAGTTACTCATCGACAACTATCAATCAACATTAAAGTCAGAATTTCCAATACAAAGGTCAAAACAGTTCTACTGAATGTGGTGGAAACTTAGAAAACTACGAAATTCATCATCCAGAAGATACAAGTATTTATTAACAGTTGTCTATGCAACATACTTCGGATCCATTAGCTAGAATCCATCAGCAACTACTTACTGTGTAAAACGACTAACGAGATTTTAGCGGATGGATGAGTCAGGAGGAAGTGTTATGACTGTTTACGAAACACACAGTAAGTAAAGTACCCATCGATATCACTAGACAAGCTCTCACCTGAAACCTGCAAGGCGAAAGGAGGAGAGGAGTACCAAGTAACACATTGCACCGAGAAGTGGAGACAAGAGAACATGAAAAGAATGAACAACGATTAGACAGGAATGAATAGAAAGACGGAGGACAGAGCAGGTTGAAGAATGCCAGTGGTTGGCCTATGCTCCGTTAAGGAGGTAACACGATTAGATAAGTATGTAAGTAAGTGAGTTGACAATGTGACCTACCCTAACTCATAAATTATGAACCACAATTACAAAAGGTGAATTTTCTACTGATTAAAACAATTTACAAATAATAGAAATCATTCCATCAACATCACTCCACTTGATTTCATGCTTTTTAAACAAAAAATACTTATTATTATGATGTTAATGAATACATTAACCACATTTTCTTCTTGTTTATTTATTTTCAAGATTTCTGTTAGTGTAAATGATAAATGAAATTGGTTCAAGGTAAATGAGAACAATTAAACTGATACCATTGTAAACATTGAATTATTATGTTTTGTGGTGGTTATTTTATCTACTTGTACGTGACAGATAGTGAATTACATTCTGCTTTCTTTAGCAGAACATATCATCGGACGTTAGTGAGAAATATCATGATTTTCAATCGAGAGATGTGGAGATTGTTGAGTTGTGTGGAAATCAGAAAATCGATCAATGAGAATCAGAACTTATTGGATGGCCGTTTCATCCTAGGTATGGAACACCGTAGGATGATTGCTAGGTGATTTAGAGGTTAAGCACTTGCATGAAAGATTTAAAACAAATGGATTCGATTTCAGGTTGTGCGGTCGTAGATTTATACTGCTGAATCAGTCTCGCATTATAATAAAATAACCTTCCAGGTTTCTACTAGTGGTCTAAGATTAATCGATCTTATCTTCTCTGTGATGTGAGTTGAGACCGACCGCAGCGGGAGCTGCTCCTACAATGATCGTCTTCTCTTGCATTTGTTATCGCTCATTCGATGGAAGAGCTAGATTGTCGGCGGAGAACAAATCGTCCAGCTGCACCCGTTCTGTTCACTGTATACTGTGCTCCCCCTGAGATGTTGACTTCTTCATAATCCAGTCAATCATTAGGAGAAAGAGAAAGGGTGAGAGTAAGCAATCCTGCCTGGTGATCGAGGCTGTCAGTTGTACTCCTTGCACAAGTTTTCTGTTGAATCCATTACAAGAATTCTATATGATGCTGACTATCATCTCAGGCTCTCGGCACTGTCAAATAGGTCTCCATAATGTTATCCTGTCCATATAGTCAAATGCTTTATCGTAGTCTGATGACCATACTGATCTCTTCAATTATTGGTGGGCGAACATTGCCTCTGCACGAATGTTTTCTCGTCCTGCTGCTTTGCTACTCTTCATTTGTCTGATTGCCATCGTTAGTATGCCAATATCGAATAGGAAGCAAGTTGATGCTGTCTCGATGTTGAGTGGGTTCAATGTGGATCTTCGATTCAAGAGTTTCCCAAAGTGCTCTACCTACCTATTCCGCTGTCCTACAAAAATGATAATTCTCTTGTCTTCTATGTTTTTCACTGGTCGTTCTGATTTAAGATAGTTTTCAATAGGCCTACTTCTTTCATCTCATAATTTTCTTATGTTTCTTTCTCTTTCAACCTTTTCCGCCGTCAGTGCTGGACCTCCATTTTATTGACCTTTGTCAACTGCGAATCTCCTATTCACTTGCTTGATTATTTCTGTAAACACAGATTGAGCTACGGCTTTACATCCAATTGTTTGGGTAATATTTATTGCTGCGGGCTTACTCTCCCTTCCCTCTTGATTGCAATCCACTGTATTCACAGTGATCAGTAATTTGTAATACTGCACCTTGTGGCGCAGAAATGTAAGATCCATTTCCAAAGGCTTTGTTTGTAGCAATTCGTCAACAACAGTGGTGTGAGGAAATAGCACTGTGTATAATAACAGCGATAGAGGCGAGGTGAAACCTCATCTGTCTATTGATGGTGCGGTGAATGTGAATAAGAAAAGTGATGATGGAGTCACAGTCAGGTGTGCGGTTTCCACAATCGTCACTAGCGTAGTTTCATCTAGTATTTCAGTTCACGACAAGGTTGCACGTTCTAGCGTGCAGTATTTAGGGGACGGTGGCAGTGGCATCAGTCATATTACTGGCACTACCGAGAATGTTCACGATCAGTATTTTGGTTGCCATGAGAGGTCATCTAGGCTGATGATTATAGGTCCATGAGATTCCCATCTAATAAGTGCAGTTTGTGCTTGTTTGGACAGCATCAAAGCAGCCAAGTGTGTGTATGTGAGACATTCTCGTCTTCATGGCTTTTCTGAAGTTGCATCTTTTCATCTTTGATGCAACTTAGATGAGACGTACACTCTCTAACATTGTTCGACAGTTCCATTTACTTAAAAGAATGGTCGTTCCAGAGTTTCAGAACTAGGGTCGAGCAAGTGACTTCCGAAAGTACTCGGATCTTGTGAATGAATTCCCTGTTCACTCACCGGAGAGAGATAGAATGGTTTGAATGAACTTCCTGTCCAGTAATTTTTCTAGCAAGCGGGTTTTCTATGAGATGTGCCGTCAATCTAACTTCCAACACCCGGACTTCATTTGAGCTTTGAAGCGGCAGAAGATCCATGGAAAATACAGATCAATACTATGTAGCTACAGATTGAATGATGTGCCTCAAAATCGTTTGCATTAGCGCAGATAAATTAATTCATTGTCTCATATCAAATTCAAATTGTATGTATTCCTCGTGGCTCTTACTTCTGTTTTCATGTTTATTTCACTAAGTTATACGTCTCTAAACATTTCACCAGCGAAAATAAATTTTTAGTGTTATAATTTCGAGTGACGCTTTTTCTGAGCACAACGACTCATTGTGCCTATGTCATCTGTTTACTTGAACAATTGTTCACACTTCACAAAAAAGAGGTGTGTCGTGAATTTCAAATGAAACCTGTCACAACAGTGCATGAGTCGAGTGCACTGCGAATCGAGCTGCACACTGTGCACTGACACACCTGTGAAATCACTCACATGCACTGGAATAATTTCACAGGATATTGACCCATATAAATAGGTGAACGTGTGACGAGATTGTAACTTAGTCCAGTGAACTGGTCACATAGTCACATAGTCACATGGTGATGTTGAACCGGTCGACGTTGCTGGTGTTGGTGCTGTGCACCTACTACTGTCTGACATTTGAACGTGTGTCAAGCTGGCTGATACGTAGTGGTGAACCAGTGCAACAACGCACTGAATTCCCCTTCATCGCATTTCTAACGACAGAGAGAACAATGTGCACAGGCTCATTGGTCTCGCAGAGGGCAGTACTCACAGCTGGTCATTGTGTTTGTTCACCGTTGCCAGTGATCCGGGTAAGGCTTCACACAGGAATTATTGTGCCTCTATGTTGTTGATTGATTGATTGATTGATTGATTGATTTGACAGTGTCTGTGTGACAGACTGTGTCGCATCGGTCTAACGCTGATCTAATCAATGTGTTTTATCCGTTTCAGGCTTCGTTTCTCGCACTGAGGAATGGCGACCAGAATGCCATCAATCACCAACCATCTGGAGTCAAGATAGCACCGCAATACATGCCCTCTTGTAATGCGTTACGAAGCGGCAGAACCCCACAACAGTCACTCAGCGGATTTGACGTTGCAATTGTAATGCTCGCACAAATGGTCAACTTACAGAGTGGAGTCAGAGTGATCAGTCTGGCACAGGAATCGGATATCCCAGCACCAGGAACTGGTGTTTTGATTGTTGGTTATGGGAGGGATGATAACGACCGCGATCCGTCACGCAAAAATGGTGGAATTCTGAAGAAGGGTGAGTTGTCGACGAACAATGGGTTTGCTAGTTTGCTTGCGTGCGAACACTTCGATGGAAGACGTTTGCTGAAATGTCTGTGCCAATGACGATTCGTTTTGTATGTGAGTCGAGTTGTCAGTCCGTGGTTTCATTTCCACATTGGAACAGTGATGAGATGGATTGTGGCTTGATTGATAAAGGTGACGACCTCTGATTGCGGAGAACACATGTTGATTAGTTGTTCGGTGCTTGGTTTGATGTGTTGGTTGTGTATAATTTGTGCAACTGGATATTTGTGCACTTGATCCACCTGATCCTCTGTTCTTTCTCTCTCTCTCTCACACAGGTCGAGCTACTGTTATGGAGTGCCGACACAACACCGTCGGCAATCCTATCTGTGTGAAATCAGGTCAGAATTTCGGTCAATTACCCGCTCCAGGTGACAGTGGTGGACCTCTGCTTCCGTCTCCTCAAGGTCCAGTGCTTGCTGTGGTATCACATGGCGTCACACATACCATGTACCCCGACATCATTGTGGAGTATGCCAGTGTGGCCAGAATGTTGGATTTCGTGCGTCCCAATATTTGAATAACCAGTACCGACCGACAGCTTGTGTCATTCTCACAGGTGTGTACATAGAATATGGACAACTGCGTTTACGATTGTGTTCATATATTTCTAGTAAATAAACAACCTAATCAATTACACCATTACATCATGTGTTTTGTATGAGCTGATAGGTGTGGGTGTGGATTTTGTTGATTTGCGCGCGTAGAATGTAGCAGTGAGTTATTTTCGGATTATTCTGCACGATTGTGGGACATGGTCGATTCGTATGATTTGACGAAGAGGAATATAAATACACTTTTTACCTAGCACATACTGTAATACCTCTGTAATCGATCAGAAAAATATAGTGTAGGTCGTAATTCATCGACTTCATATAAAATTGATATTACTGATATTACCGGTAGACGCTATGACTTTACTCATAAACGATAAGATTCAATCAAGTTTCTAATAAGCATATGCAAAGTTAGGATGTCCAGTGTAGTTGTCGAATAGTGGCATTTATAAAATAGCGATGAGTTACACAAAAATATTAAAAAGAATTCATTTGCGAATTATTTGTGTAGTGAAACGTCTATGTAGTTCAAGTGTATTTTGAAGTGTTTGATATAATCTGCGATCATAATGAACGTGAACATAAACTTTGTTTATCGAGTGTAGGTGGAATATTCACGTCCGTTAAGTCGAAAACAAATACGCACTCGCAACAGAGCATGATATGAATCTAGACATGTGCTCGAGAACGAGTGACAATCCTCTTTTGAACCCTTAGTTCTGTGGCTGATGTCGGTCTTATCTAGTTGTGTACAGCGTGGTAATGACTGTGTTTGCCGTAAGGTCAGAAGATGGTTTTCCCTAATCTAAACGTTAGTGTTTGCTAGGAATCGGCCGTTATCTGAGTATAGTTGCATCAGACAGTCTCCATAATCTGCTTTTTGTATCGTGACACCATCGGATCCACCTAGGCATCTTTCCTTATCACTCAGTCTATCTATTTGAGCATTGATGTCGTCAGTAATGGTTACAATATCAGAGTGCCTAACTTTTTGGATAAAGTCCGAAAGCTTTCTTTAGATCTCATGTTTCATCTCGTCTGAACTGCTGTCAGTGGGAGCATAGGCAGATACGACGAAGAGGAAACGGCGAGTGTCCTTAGCTTTTCGAGTCCTTACTGTCCCGTTCAGTCGTACGAGGCACAAAGAACTATCTATTGGGATCCAGTCTAGTAGGGCTAGTTCTGCACTACGACTCAATGTTATACCTACACCAGAGAGACCATGGGAAGCAGTTACAGGGCTTTCAGATACACGATAGGGGTAAATCGAGCTGCTTCTTTATCTTCACTTGCTGAGGTCAAGTAGATGACGCTACTCGGATTCTGTGTGCGCGTTTCCGAGTCGAGGCAAACGTCGATGCCGCGAGACTCAAAAGTCTTAGGTAATGAAGCAAGTTGCCCTATTTTACAAAATTTCCGTACATTAAAAGCTCCAACATGTAGATTAGAACGGGGTTTCAGGAGACCAGGAATAACGTTTCGAGAACTCAAAGCGATTGCAGTAGAAGTGCGGGATGATAAAGGAATGTGAGAAGAGTTTGTCGTGAAGATAAAGAGGATGTTATAGGGTGGAGGGAGATTTAGATTGTGACCAATTCGATCTGGTGAGCTGGAACGGGTATGCGGGAGGATGTCTCATCCAGGCTGCCCACACTGTAAAGGCAGTTTCATGAGGGACCTGAAAAGGAAGGTAGATAAATGTCGTTCTCAACTATCCGTCAGAGAGACCGCAGAGTTCAAGTGATAACTGCTTCAGGCCGGTCACGCAAGGCCATTTTATGGGTAGTATTTAAAGCGCTAGCTCTGTTCTTATTTAAAAGCCCTCAATGGACACCCCTTACCGCCAGAGTCGAAAATCACTGAGGTGGGGTGATATGTGACATCTTGAGAGTCAACATTTACTAACCCGCCCTTTCCTTGTGAGAAGGCAGCATCGCTGCTGATGTTGGTTGTCCGAGTGAAACACCTTACTGCTGTCACAATTCATCGCAGTCAGCAGTACGACCTCACCTCGAGACCGTGAGTAGCTGCTTTTCGTCTCATCGTTCCTCGATCGACGTGTCTGGCATGTGGGACTTTCAGAAATATATGTTCGAGCAAATGTAGCTCGATTGCGTCATCACGATAGGCGAGCCTAAACACATTGTCAAGTTGAAAGCTACGGTCAGGGAGACCCAGGATTGTGTAAAATGAAAAGTGCTAGACGTCAGCATATGCTCATCTGGGTGAAACATGAATAAGTAGGTATGTAAGTAAGTGAGTTGACTATGTGACCTACCCTAACTCATAAATTATCAACCACAATGACAAAAATAACAAAAGGTAAATTTTCTACTCATTAAAACAATTTACATATAATAGAAATCATTCCATCAACGTCACTCCACTTGATTTCATGCTTTTTAAACAAAAACTACTTATTATTATGATGTTAATGAATGCATTAACCACATTTTCTTCTTGTTTATTTATTTTCAAGATTTCTGTTATTGTAAATGATGAATGAAATTAGTTCAAGGTAAATGAGCTGAGTTGAACTGATACCATTGAAAACATTGAATTATTATGTTTTGTGGTGGTTATTTTATCTACTAGTACGTGACAGATAGTGAACTACTCTCTGTTTTCTTATGGCACAAAGATCATTAATCATTTACAGTGTTCTTTACACACTTAATATTCAATGTTTTTCAATTGTTCAATAATTCAAAACTTAATTTTATAGAGAGAGAAATATGAGTATAATTTGTGGATTTTGTTTGTTGAATAAGCTTTTATGCATTTGGATGACTTAAGTGTTTGTTCATTTCGGATGGTATAGTTCTGTTGATTGTTTTATTGAAATCATGAATTGATCAATGCTGTACCGTCGTTAGGAAGCAGGAGGAAGTGGAGACTGCTCAACAGCACGCCTCCACAGTCATAAAAGTGGGATTAAATATCATCCATCGTAAGTGAGAAATATTATGATTGTCAATACAGAGATGTGGAGATTGTTGAGTTTCGTTGAAATCAAAAAATCGATCAATACAAGATCACTATCAAGAATCAGAACTTATTGGATGGCCGTTTCATCCTAGTATGGAACACCGTTGGATGATGGCTAGATGATTTAGAAGTTAGGCACTTGCATGAAAGAGTGAAAGCAATGGATTCGATTTCAAGTTATGCGGTTTTTGGAGGCTCAATGATAAATCAGTCTCATACATGAGCGAAATTTCCATCCAGTCCTTACAGGTTTCTATTAGTGGTCTAAGATTGGTCGATCTTATCTACTAGGTTGTGTGAGTTGATACCAACTGCAACGGAAGCTGCTGCTACAATGATCGTCTTCTCTTGCATTTGTTATCGCTTATTCGATAGAAAAGCTAGATCGTCTGCGAAGACCAAATCATCTAGCTGCACCCGATCTGTCCACTGTATACAATTCTTCCCCTGAGATGTTGACGTCTTCATAATTCAATCGATCGCCAAGAGAAAGAAAAAGGGTGAGAGTAAGCAATCTTGCCTGACGAGCGAGTCTGTCAGTTGTACTCCTTGCACAAGTTTTCTGTTGAATCCATAACAAGAATTTCGTATGATGCTAACTATCATCTGGGCCTCTACGTACTGTCGAAGAGGTCTCCATAGTACTGACATGTCACGCAGACAAATGCTCTCTCGTAATCAGTGGAGTTTTTGTAGTGTGATGAGTTCCATTCAACTGATTGTTTCACAATCATCCGTAATTTTGCAGTTTGTTCGGTTATCGGTCGATCCTAACGAAGTTCAGCCAGTTGATCTTAAACTCGGGCTTCAACGATGTCCTTTAATCTTTTTAACAACACCCAGTTGAAGACTTTGCCTTTTATGGAGAGAAGACTAACGCCTCAATGGTTCTCACAACTGATGAGGTCGCCTTTCCTCGGTTTTTTGATGAGGAATCCTTCTATCTGGACTGTTGATACTTGTTCTTCCTTACAAGTTTTGTTGTAGAGAATGTGGAATAATTTTGCAGTTGCTGCCACGTTTGTTTTCATTGCCTCTGCTGAAACATTGTCTGACTCCACCTGCTTTGCTGCTGTTCATTAATCTGATGGCCTTACGTAACGCTCCATTGGTCGGTAGGCCAACTTCAATTGGGCAGTCCGTGGATTCTGCTTCTTTGTTGGGTGGGTTTAGTGTGGCTCGTCGATTCGAAAGTTACTTAATGTGCTGTACATGTTTGTTTCTCTTTTCTGCAATGTTGGTGATTGCTTTACCTTCATTGCATTTCACTGTTCTCGTGGTATCGTAAAATTGTCTTATGGTTTCTTCTATTGCTGCATTTTCCGATATCATTGCTAACTGTGTCACATATTTACGTTTTGTCGTCTCTGATACTCTTCTCTACTTGTTTATTTGCTCCTGTGTATTCTTTTTATGTCTTGGCTTTCTCTTCTCTTGTTTAGTTGATGTTGATTGCTGCCTTCATGTTCCTTCTTCCGTGAGTTATATCCAGACTGTCAACAGTGATCTGTTCCTTATGACTGATAGCGTAATGACACGTTGAAGATGTTGCTTCCATCATCCGTTTCCAATTGATCTCCATAGTAATTTCCACTCCACTGATGAGTAGACAATGAAATTCTAGGCCTGGAATTTGTTGAGTCTTCCAAACAAAGGACGTAATAAACGTTTACAATGTTGTCCATCCCTTTTTTTACACTATTTCTTGAGTTACATTTTCATCTTGACCATCATCACGTGACAAAAAAAATATTTAAAAGTCTTTATGTACGCATGTTTGTTTGTTTTTTTTTAGAAAAAATTCAAAAAATTTGTTTATCTACATTTGGCCAATTGAAATTTGAACCAATTATTTACATTTTCTAATCATATATATATATATATAAACAAATGCAATAAAAAAATGATCCAATCTGTGATATCTTCAATGAGAATGCATTATTCATTTGTGTTCCTTGTAAATTTCTTACTTCTT